TTATCAACAGATTTTTTTGAATTTTTTTATCATCGAATGGGGCATACGATTGATACTTGTTGGAATATACATAAGTCACATCATCAATTTTTTAATCCAACACCATTTGCTGTTATAGCCGATGAATATTTAGATCAATTTGTACGTGCATTACCATTAATAATCTTACCTGCTTTGATACCAGTTAATATGGATTTATTATTTTTTCAAGTAAGATAGACTTTAGAAAATTCAAAAAAAAACATCTCTGATGACATATTTATTCTAGTTTGCTACTTTTTTCTATGGTTATGGTATTTATCTTCATTGGGGTCATGAATTTTCGTATCCAGATGCTCATCATCCTATAATTAATACATCTTTTCAACATTATTTACATCATGCTGTTTCTATTAAAAATAAACCTTATCATACGGGATTTTATTTTAAAATATGGGATCAATTATTTGGTAGTATTTATCCAAGAGAAAATTGCTTCTGTATTAAATGTCAAAAAGAAAAAGGGCAACGTACACGTGAAGAATTTGAAAAAATAGACAAACCAGATTATAGTGTCTTGTTAGACTGGAATTTTTGGTTCAATGAGAAACTTGCTTAACAAGTTTTTGATTTTATATTTATTTTTTCAATAAAAAGTCATCAGAAAAAATAAACTAATCGACAACATTCAATAATAAACAATGCCAATATGATTTTAAGAGCAAATAGTACCTAGCATGTACGTCATACTCATAATATAAACAGACACTTTCTCTTCTATATGTATATGAAACAGATTGTGTTTTTTTTTCACTAAATTTATTGTTCCCAATTTACAGGGTTAACATATTGAAAGACATTACAGAAAAGTTTGACCGACATAATATAATATCATAAAAGATTACATTTGTTAAAGGAGAAAAACAAATTATAGAGTAACACTTTATTTGATCGGTTAATCTCTGCTATCTTCTTGTCCTACAAATTCATTTCTCAATATTATCCAGAAAGGCCGTAATTATCACTTATGTTGATACAAGTAGAGATTAATAAAGAAAGAAAAATCCGAGTAGATAAAGTTGGTACAAATTAAAGCAGAAAATGAAAAATGAGAAGAAAAGAAGATCAAGAAAAAGTAATTAGTATAACGTAAGTCGATGGAACATTTATACATATAAAGTTAAAGTTAACAATGAGACGTTAAGACTATTTAGAAAAATCCTTGATATTAAGAGAGAAGAAGGTACCTACACATAGAGTCCCTTAAATCGTTTCCTGAAGTGCAATAATAATTTATTTGTTTTTCATGAACATTGAAGAAATCGAATAAATCTAAATACATATGGGTACCACGTTGTGCTAATCTTTCTGAGAACTTACTACTCTTTCTAAACCGCATACTTTTATAGTATAAATGTAAACCATTAGGAGAAGTAGCACTCATGTATGATTCAAATGTTTCATTGAATGTGGAAGCTTCACTAGATTTGTCTAAATGGATCTTTAGTTTTTTTCCAATATTTATATATGTAATCGGTTAATGCTTTTTCTCTAGCTAATATTAGAGTAGTATGGTCATCGCATCCCCATAAAAAAATACTATTCTAAGACCTGAAATGTAGACGTGTTCGATTTCTAGCTTCTGTTTTTCAGTAAGAAAGAACCATAAAATCGAAATCCATATGAAATGGGAGAGGACAAATGTGAGAAATAGTAAGCGTCGAGTTTTAATATTTCTTCTTGGAATGGTATGATACAGTTATCGAAGACCACAGTATATATTTGTTATTTTTGCTATACGTGATTGTATATAAACTTCCCAACCTAGTTTAGTTCTGATTTCGATTTCTAAATACTTAAACATAGATACAAACTTGAGTTTCTGATTCTCAAAGAATACATTTGGATATTCGGGAGCGACAGCATTGTGAAATAGCATGAGCTTTATTTTATTTGGATTTACTAGTAATAAAATATCTTTTGAATATTTCCTCTAACACGAACATTGCTAATGTAGTATGTTTTTCTAGTTGATTTATATTGTCTGACAGTCTTTTTCGATAGATCCCTTTATCAAGATAGTTAGGTCATCAGCGAATGAATGTGTATCAAAACGTGCGAATATTTTGGGTAAAAAGTGTAGGTGCAATCTAAATAAAGTTGCTGATAATACTGAATCTTGAGGTACACCTACAGTCGTAGCTATATTTCTGGATAAAGCCTCACCGTATTTGTATATTCATTGAACGTCCTATTAGTCATTCATATATAAAGCATACTAGATTTTATGTATTTCTAATTCCAGCAAGTTTGAAATGAGAACGGGGTGTCACATTTTATCAAAAACTGTTATAAAAATCTACAAATATTCCCAGTACAGGACGATTTGGTGCTGCTATTGTTAATAGTATATCTTCACAAATTGTGAGAATACGGGTTTGAAATCGTCTATTCGGAGTAAAATCTGACTGTTCATCAAGATAGATTCCTTTGAATTTGCACCATTTTAGAATTTTTGTATGTATACATCGCTCAAAAAGTAGGCTTAAGTTAGGTAATAATGAAATTGGTCGTAGATGATTCTCAGTTGAATAGATATCGTTTTTCGATAGACAGATAACTTTAACTACTTTACCAGCTTCTAAAATTTCTCCTTTTGAGATACATTTGTTGAACGTAATAGTGATTATATTTATGTATTCGGCTGGAAGAAGCTTTAATAAAAATGCTGAAATACCGAAGATATCGGTAGATCTTTTTTTTCTGACATTTTAAGCCATTGTTTATAGACTTCTTCTATTTCGATCGGTTCAACTGGTAGCTTTGGTAGATGGGCTATTTGATCGTATGTTTTTAAGTAAGCAAGATGTTCTTTATTTCCTGAATCATGAATGCGTTTCGAAAAATGCATCTTGAAATAATCTCCTAAGTGATCAGCTATTTGTTGGCTGTCCCTTAAAATTTCGTTGTTGTTATGTTTTAGCCCTCTGAAAGATGAAAGATATGGACGAAATGTTGGTTTTACTATCTTCCATATATTTTGATTATCGATTAAATACTTAATTTGTTTCTCACGTTTTTCTTTTTCATATATTGCCCCGGCATGGTAGTATTGATATGTTAATTTTTTATATTCATCTAAATAGATGAGACAACGTGTTCTACGATATTTACCCCGCATATAATTTACTTGTTTAGCTATTGAAACTAAATATGATGGCCAGGGTGGTCGATATTTTAGATATATCTCGTATGTACTGGTTCTATCCCACAATGCTCTGAGAATATTTGAGAAGAGAATAAAAAATTCTTGTTCTTAGATATTGTATACACAAGCATTTCAATACTGAAAGATACATGATAAGAAATAAGTAAATATAGTCCAATAAGTCTTACGATAGACAAAGTTTTTTTCAATTACTAACGGAGATGAGAATAGAATTGAAAAATGATCTGAGGTGCCTATGTTTAAAACTTCCGAACTTCATCCTGCAGCTGAGTATCCAATCGCGAAATCAATAATTGCATTAGATCATTTGGATGTAGCTGATTGTGGAAAAATATCTTCATAACCAAATAGATTGTGTATTTGTTTCGATAAACTGTTAAAATAGTTTGATTTACTATTTTGTACCAACAAATGAAAAAGAGTTAACGTCAATAACATATTCATTTTATTTATAAACAGCTCTTCAATTGACAAATCTCAGTAGATTGTCTATTTATCACGATATGATTTGATTAAACACATTACTAAATTTAGTAAAAAGAATAAATATACAAATGACGTAAACAGAAAGTCAGAACAACACTGAAATAATAGCTTCAGCCGGCGTCAATTATTGGCAGAATACTTCAAAGTCTGATGATATTATTTTCTTTATTTTACTTGTTAGTATAGCTGATGGTTGAATCGTAAACGTTGGAATAGAATATAAAAAGGAAAACCTGATTAAAATATAATATACTTAGAGTATATCATGAGCAGTAGTCTCAGAATTGTATTACACCACAGAAAGCTTAAGGAAAATTCCTTCCAATGCGTATTTGATGTGTTCTATAGTTCTTCAATACATAGTCATCATTCAATTACTATCATAACATAGAAATATTGTCTGACAACTATGCACCCGTATTTTACATGAATAAAAAAAATTTTCGTTTCTGTGCTACAGTGTGTATTGCATTTCATACAGATCCCAAAGGGATTCACGATGACATATATTCTATTTTCAGCTACCAAGTTCTATCTCATAGTACAGTGATTAAGTAATCAAAAAAGTTTCATGAAACTCGAGAACAGATTGAAGATTAGTCATAACTAGGTCGACCGTTATTGAGACAACATTTGAAGATATCATTTCATTGTCTTATTGCTGATTATCTTCACCTTAAGATTGATGAAATATAAAGCGAAACTGATCTGAGTCACGACATCATCGAATAAATTATTTCTGACTATTTGAAGTTAAGAAAAAACAGTGACACTAGGAGGATATCAAGCCAATTGACTAATGTTCAATAAGCTGAACGGATTCGAATATATGAAGAAAATGTTGCGAAATTTGAACAAGAAGCATGTCAACTATGTAATGCAGTGACAAGTGACGAATCGTGATGTTTTTCATAAACAACTTAGTTGAATGATATCAAATGCTGTCTAGACACAGCAAGCGAAGAGACTCTGTCAGGTTTTATTCACAGCAGCCACATCGCTCCAAAAACCTTATTTTGTTTAGTTTTTGACATAACTGGTCCTGTTGTAATTCATCTATGATATAAACTGAGAGCAGTGCACAGAGTGAATGAGACAATTNCTCACTATTCATTGGACAAGTTCGTAATTTTTTTTTTGCTGGATGCTTTTCAGACTGTCTTCGGGTGAATTAGAAGACGAAAATGAAAATCCAAGACCACTTCCACCAAAGTGGTATAAACTCCATGGAATCACCCATATATATATTTTTTATTTAGTAGAATATAGATAATCGAATTATTGATTTCATATAAAGAAAAGAAAGATGATAGATTATTTGAGCAATCTTCCAGTCGAATTAATTCACAAAATTTTCGATGATGTTACGACATTTGATATACTTGGATGTTTAAGTCTTGTAAATAAACGACTTCGTTTAATATCTTTCGACTATCCTCGCTTTCGACTTGATCTTAATTCTATTAAGAGAAAAAAACAATTCGACGTTTTCTGTGATCAGTTAGCTTCAATATCATCTCAAGTCGTTTCACTATCACTTTCGGATCAAAATGATGGAACAATACCTGCAAAAATCGAAATTTTTTTTTCACGATTCGAATTCATCAATGACACATTTTCTAATTTATCTTCACTTCATTTATCTCATGTTGATCATTTAATGTGGAAATCAATAAAACATCATATAAAATTACTTACATCACTCGTATCAATCTTCATCGTTTTAGCTCATATGCATTTTGGCGATGAAGTCGGTGATTTTACATCATATCTACTCAAAGATCTATTATTTATATCGACATCACTCAAATACGTTTATGTGAAACCTGATAATGTTTTTGTTCATACAGCGTATCTTGATTTTCGTGAAGAAAAAGTTTCATCAATCGAATATTTTACGTTACTTAGTGTACCTACCGATCTAGAGAAATTATGTTCTGTCGTACCTGCTTTACGTACACTTAATATAAAAGCTATGATATATCATCCTGCTCATAAATTTTGTTTAAATTTATTTGAAAACTTAAGACGGTTATCGCTCACTATTTATCATCTTTATTTCTCTACTATTGAACAATTATTATATCCAATGAGAAAATTAGTGGATCTGATACTTATTGCCAACAATGTATACTATGATATGTGTGATGGTGCTGCATGGGAGCGAATATTAGCTGAAATAATTTCGTTCAAATTCTTATTTAGATTTCACAAAACAACGTGGAGCAAAGATCCAATAAAACTTGATTCATTTCGATCATTATTCTGGTTAGAAAAGAAACGATGGTATGTTGGCTACGATCGATGTACTGTTAGTGGATTTTCATTACTTTATTCAATTCCATATTTTATGAATGCATATCCATGGCATTCTATGAAAGGAGATATCGACACAATATCGACTGGACCACAAGTACTGTCACTAAATAATGTCAATCGTTTTACTGTTAGTGAACAATTACCAACAGATTATAAATATTTACGTCGAATGACAAATCTTCAAAGATTAGTTATTGATGAATCTGATAAAATTTTTAACGTATTCTTTCATAACATTCTTCCACATATTGACATATCAAAAATGACGACACTTGTTCTTGCTGAAGGTCGTTCAATGATCGATATCAATCGTTTTGTTCAATTCATATTTAGTATGCCTCATTTACGTACTATAAGCGCTTCTATTATTTATATTAAATACCTATTCTTCTCACGTTGGCCTAACATTCGTCGAGTAGAAATATTATGCAGTTGGCCAACGAATACAATTACAGAAAGAAGATTAACTCTAAGTGAGATCGATGCATTTTATCTTTCTTTTACTCATATAGAATATCTCAGTTTTCATCAAGACGTTGACTTAAATCCATCGATACTTTTAAACAACATACCAACAACAATATCAAACATCGTAGTTTATCACCCAGTTAATATAACGCATGCTGATTTTCAGGATTTCGTTACACCTGATTGGCTTGAACAGAACACACGACTACGGGACTTTTATTATTCGTGTAGCAAACTAAATACTGTTAGTTTGTGGTTCTAGTTTTATTTTCTTTGTAATGTAGATAGTGTTTAAAAGTGTACTCCTTTTCATAAAATGAATTATATCATTATTGAATTTCGTTTTGCTAAACAATAAAAGTTACAATATATAAGCGAGTTCATTATCGTTGAATAACTATTTTCTACTCGGAGTAGCAGATACAGTTTTTTGTAAGATTTGAACCAATTAAAAGCTTTATATTACTCTGTAGTTAAGATCGAATAACAAATTTTTAAAGTATAGTGCATTTTAATAATGTGATGAAATAACAATAAATTAAAAATATCTGAGAATAAACTTCGAGTTGAATGAATTTAAACTCAAGTAGAAATAAATATATAGTTTTCTGTACGAATAGAACGATACTAGAATTTATGTTATGTCTGTAGTGTTCGCCAAAGACCATAAAATGAAGAGGAGGGTGTTCCTTATGCTATAGTAATAGTGCGTCTATCCGAGTGTGAGTTTGTTCGAAAGGATTAGCCACATACTTATATACCCAGACCCAAATTTCAAAAAAAATTTTCATAATTTATTCGAATAATATTTTTGCGAGGTTAATTCAAATTCAACGAATTTGGGATTAAATATTTATTAAAATTATTAAATTCATATGAATAATCATCTCGATAGATTCTCGAATCTCTTAAATCATTTTCAAAGACAAAAATACAATAAAACGAAATTGATAATTATCGATAAAAAATATATTTATCTTATTTTGATTATTAAAATAAATCTTTATTCATAATAAATTTAATAAAATAATTTTATAGCAAGTTTAAATTTGAAATATATTCATCCTTTACAAGAATAAATAATATTATTTTCATATGAGCAACAAAATAAAACATAAATCAACAGTTTTTCTTTAGTTTCATTTTCAAATTTGTCGAATGATACCAAAAAGAGTGTATAACTATTTTGAATATTCATATATATGAAATAGCAGCGGATTTAGAGGGGGAATGGGCAAGAGAGCGATTATCTTTCACCGCTCATCCAAAAAAAATTTTCGGTTTTTTCCAGCTAGGGATGGTTGGTACTTCACTTTTACTTTATAAAATAAAGATAAAGTGAAGATATAAAGGATTCTTTTTTCGACGGATAAACGATCTTGAAAGTGCTCTATGGGCCATAGGATTCATGTTAAGAAAGATTTTTATCATAAAAAAAAATGCTTTTATACTGAAAACAAGCTACTAGAGACATAATATGAATTACTATTTTTTCTCCAATATTTAGCAGACTTCGATCAGAAAAATAAAGATTGAATCAGAATTAAATATGAAGATAACTTATGAATATTTCATACATTTTTGAGATCTTTTCTTTTCATCGAAAAATTTTCCCGTACTCTTCCTTAAGATGGTTCAGTCATAAAGTGAATTTTACCCAAAACTGGTTTCGCAAAGGCAAACAAGCTCTCAAGTTGTAAAATGATAATAGAATACAAAATGAGCAATATTTAGATGACAAAAACATCGCTTTCATGGGTTTCATTTTTGTGACTGAACCGTCTTGAGGAAGAGTACGGGAAAATTTTTCAATGAAAAAAAAAAATTCACAAATGTATGAAATATTCATAAGTCATCTTCATATTTAATTCTGATTCAGAATATGATATTAGTTTTGATTCAATCTTTATTTTTTGCTGATCGAAGTCTGCTAAATGTTGAAAAAAAAATATTAATTCATATTATGTCTCTAGTAGCTTGTTTTCAGTACAAAAGCATTTGTTTTATGATAAAAATCTTTCTTAACATGAATTCTGTTTTCTAATACTTTATTTTAAAGGATAATAAGGATAAAGGGTCACCTCCTATTCTCAACATAAAAGGCAAAAGAATAGTTTCTAAACACGTTTGATGACATTGATCATCGCATGCCCACGGAAGCATCCCATATTAAAAAATCTTAGGTCCGCCACTGATGTGAGGATGTGGATGTGAGTATAGGTATTAGGAACATCCACACCCACACTCTGGTGAAACAGAATTAATAGAAGGAAAAAACCGTTATAGATTGTTATCCATTAGTACGTGTTACAATTTATTTTTTATTTGAAAAGAAAAATTGTTTTATTTTCTGTAATTTATTCAATGGGTAACAACAGAAATTTTGTTCGAGCTGAAGATTTATCATTTCGTTTAATTGAAAGAAAGCATGTGTATGTAGCAGAGAACAAAAGATTAAGGAGGGAAAGTATGAGGCAGATCGTATGAACTATGACCATGGCCATGACAACAGGGCTAGACTAGACAAGAATATGCAGTGCATAGACAGTAAATAACAGAAACGTCCATGGTGATGCTATGAACAATTCAATATTGAATCATATTTCACTACTACAGTTCATCCTGAATAATACATTAAATTTTCTTTTAGTACTATACTACAAGAAGAAAGCGAATGCACTCTTTGGTTCACCATTGCTGGACCTGAAGAGTATGACGAGCACATATGCTACTATCCGTCGACAAATTCTCCAAAGATTAAAAACGTTGCTAGTCAATTTCGCATAAGAAAAAACTTAAATATCTATGAGTGATTCACTTTTATTCTGTGTAGTGAAATGTTTCAGAATATTTTAGTGTAGAGCGTCTCATTCTTTAAGGATACCATAGAAAATTCTGAAAATTGTACCCTATATAGAACAATGTATGGACTACAATCCGAGATAGTTTGATTCGAAGTGAGCATGAAGGTCTTAGGAATATGATATCGAAAAAGTCCTCAGTTCCGATAAGATCAAGATGAAAAGTCACCACGCCAATTAATCCTATATAGGTAGATGTCTCACACCTTACTCTATCGAACGATGAAAATCGTAGCTTGATAGCTCAAAGTGATTGAAAGTTATTCAAAAAATGGTCTTTAGTACTTTTAAAAAACCAGACATTAGTATAAATGATATTCGATAACATTGAATATTTATTATATCAAATTTGTTAACGATTGAAAAGGAATTCATCTCCATAAAAAGTATTCTATTTAATCGGTCGTCTAACTAACATGATAAAAACATTAATCGTATTGTCGTTCGGTTGACATGTTTTGAAAATATCCGAAAAAAAAGGTTATATAAAGGTAATACTCTTTTGTTTTGTTGACTAAATTTGAGTATTTCGTGCACTATTTTTACTTATTTTTTTAATGTGCATCTTGTGCAGTTTTTTTTGCTCTATCCAATCTATAAGAAATAAGTGTCAACACGCATGGTTTTTTATATTTTTTTCCACTGAAAACACTGAAAAACAACGCACAGTTTTCAAAATAAGCACATATTTTTTTTGACTTTTGTTTGAACATTCAGCCACAAAAGACCTATACAAGAAATATTTGGAGATAATCCAAATATACAGTTTTGTAGAGAGAAACTCGCTCTATCTTTTGAGGTATTATTCAATTCAATTTAATTGACTCTTAGTGAAAAAAATAATCACATAATGAGAATAAGAACAATCGAAAAAAAAGTATGATATTTATTTTTAGAGCTTCATCGAGAAATGTTCCAGATTTCTTTCATATCTATTCAAAAGTCGATCAGAGAAGGCTAAAACTTTAAATTTATAGGTTTTTCTATATGCTCTTTCATTTACGATGATAAAAAACATATGTCAAAATTTTTCATATGACATCGTTTCTCGACTGGTTCATTGACCGTCTCTTAAATATGGAAAAACGAGACAGGTGAAATACTTCCTGTATTAGAAAACTATTGTCGGCACTAGAATAAAATATGAGTTGGTATAAGATGAATATTTCGAGAACAGCAACAGCTAGCGATCTACGACTTTCACCAGCCGAAAGAGGCTAAGTTATGACATGTTTTGATACAATACTATATACGTTGAAATCATTATTTAACCAACCTGTTTTTTGGGAGAACTCTACGAAAAATGTATAATAATGCAATGTTATTCAAATGAAATTTTCATTCTGACATGGAAATTAGATAGAAGGGCTTTAGATCTATAGTTCAAGACACAATGTGAATGATTAACTTCTCATTGTCTAATGTGTTGCAACTGAATTCGGTCATTTCCACACCGAAATCATAGGAAATAGTAGTGATTTTTTACCAAATTTTCATTGGAATAACAAAATGTAAGACAATTTGCGTGAAAGTCAACACAATCCCCTATGATTTCGACGTGAAAATGACCGAATTCATTTGCAAAACATTAGATGATGAAAAGTTAATCACTCGCATTATATCTTGAACCATAGATCTAAAGCCCTTCTATCTAATTTGCATGTCCGAATGAAAATTTCATTTGAATAACATTGCATTATTATTCATTTTTCGGAGAGATCTCCAAAGAAAAGGTTGGTTAAATAATGATTTCAACGTATATAGTATTGTATCAAAATATGTCCTAACTCAGTCTCTTTCGGCTGGTGAAAAGGGTGTGGGTGTGGATATATTCTCTTCATTCACACTCGCAAACACATCCCACACCGACATACACACGCACCCATACCCACACCCCAATCCGATACAAAAAAAGCAAAACGCACATTTTACCGATCATATACTTCATTCATTTAAAAATGAGACACTGTGGAATTCCTATTTTGAAATACTTGAAAAAATCCCATTAAAAATTATTTAATGTCAAAATTTTGCAAAAATTCGAGAAAAAAGAATTGAAATAGTTCGTAGCAAGTATTCGTATTTCTATATGTATTAGCATTGAGCCTACTTTTTGTCCAACTTTGGCTAATCTCTCGCTTCATTCTTTTGACTGATGTCCTTAATGGATGATCCCCAAGAGAAAATTGCTTCTGCATTAAATGTCAAAAAGAAAAAGGACAACGTAAACGTGAAGAATTTGAAAAAATAGACAAGCCAGATTATAGTGTCTTGTTAGACGGGAATTTTTGGTTCAATGAGAAATTTGCTTAACAAGTTTTTGATTTTATATTTATTTTTTCAATAAAAAATAATCAGAAAAAATAAATTAATCGACAACTTTCAATAATAAACATTGTCA